AATAGCTGGGACTACAGGCACCTGGCACCATGTCTGGCTAATTTTTGTATTTTTAGTAGAGATGAAGTTTTACCATGTTCCTTGTGTTGGACTAGGCTGGTCTCAAACTCCTTAGGTGATCTGCCTGCCTCAACTTCCCAAAGTGCTGGGATTACAGGCGTGAGCCACCGTGCCCGGCTGCAAAAATCTTATAATACCTTCCTCACGGAGAGTAATGAAGGTTAAACGATGAAACACACAGAGCATTTTAATGTTGAGAAGGACTTCATGAGGTTGGTGAAAAATGTCAGTGAGGCTCTGGGAGGGCCACAACACGAGTGCAGATTAGACTCCGAGTGTAGCCGTGTGGCTCAGGAGTTGAGTGGAAGTAGAGAGAGGATAAGAGAGGGGCAGGGACAGAGAGAGAGGATCAAGCATTCCTTCAGTGCCTGCTGAGTGCCTGCCCTGGTCCAGACCCTGTTCCTGGTGCTGGGGGGTGCAGCAGTGAGTTAAAGAGACAAAGCCCCTGTCCTCATGGTGCTTATGCTCTAGTGAGTCTGGGGAACAGATCAGGGGACTGTTGACCCCAAATTTAAATATGTGAATAGGAATGACTATGGAGAAGAGGCAACCAGGAGGAGGGACAGACAGAAGTGAGACTCCAGGCTTGAGAGAATGACCTTGGGCTGGTGGAAGAGGCACGTGCTGAAAACAGGCACAGAACCCCTCACCCTAGGGCAGGGAGAAACCAAGAGAGTCCGAGATGGGAAAAGAATCAGGTGAAGAGGTTGAGGTGATGAAGAAGGGCGCGTGCTTGGTGATGCGGAAGGTGGGCTCTGCGGAAGGTGTTCCAGGGAGGACTTCTCAGTGTAGGATGGAGCCTTATGGCAGACGCTGGGACTGGGCATCTTCTCTGGAAACGCCCCTCTCCCACTCAGGCAGGCAGGCAGCTCCCTATCCCTTGAGTTCTGGTGTTTTTCCTACTCCTTTCTCCCTTCCCACAAGCTGCTCAATTCCCAGGGACCTGGCTGAATGGAGAGTACATACACCTGGACCACTGAAGGCGCGGCACAGGGGAGAGCGAATCCAGAACCAAATCACCTTCATCCGCACCTGCTAATTCTTCTGTGCTTTTGTAGCCTGACCCTTGGCTGCCCTCACTCCAACTCCTGTGTGAGGATGCTGAGCTCCTGGGAAAACCAAAGGGAGGGCAGGAGAGACAATACAGTGACCAAAGGCTGAGAGCGTGTCATCACTTGGGCATGAAAGCATCAAATGCCACCCCAGATGGGACTGTTGGCTCTAAGGTTTTTTCTCCCTTTCCTTTCTCCCTTTTCTCTTTTCCTTTATCGAGGTCTGCTATTTACTCCGCAAATGTTCAAAGTCTGTGGTTCTCTGGGACACAATGTGCCAAGTGATGCATGTAAGGGAGGAGATCAATGTATCCTCCACTTCCAAGAAGCTTGACTTTCCGGGGAAGAAAAGACAAGTGAAGCATAGACTTTGTGACGTTTGGTTTCCTGTTTCTGTGAATTGTGAGGAATCCTGTCCACCTGGCCCTGGAGCCGCCATCCCCCTGCTGCAGGTGCCGTCTCAATTAGTCCTGCTGTCCCTCCTCCCCCTTTCAGATTCCAGCACAATTCTGGAACAGCTCTCCCACCTGGTTGAGACTCTCCCACCTGGCCAGGGTGAGGCTCCACCCTCAAGCCCTTGGGCGTTGATCCTTTGCAAAGGATGGGTATAGCAAGAGAGCGTCTGCAGGGGCCCCTAGAGGGCCGTGGAGATGGCTAGAAAACAGGAGTGAACAGACTCACTTCAGCTTATGCCCAGAAACAAAGACACCAAGAAGAAGCAAATTCCATAGTGCTTTTATTTTATTGGAGATGAGCAAGGGAGGCATTGAAAAGTGGGGATAGGGTTGGAAACATGCTGACAGGGCCTGGATTGAGCCCACACAGCAAGGGGTGGGAGCAGGACTCTAACTCCCAATATTGGGTTTCCCTCTATGTGCTCTAGCCCCACTGCAACCCAGGGCTTGGAGGATTAGGGAAGCCAGCTGGGATGTTCCAAGAAGAGCCAGGAGGGCGGAGAACTCCGGGAGGAAATGGGTTATTGATACTTGGGTATAGATGAATATTCCCCCAGCTGCCTCCTGGATACCGATTAATATTCCCCCAGCTGCCTCCTGGATACCGATTAATATTCCCCCAGCTGCCTCCTGGATACCGATTAATATTCCCCCAGCTGGTACCTGGGGGTTGATTATTGATACCCCAGATTCCCCCAGGGTGTGGCATGGGCCTCGTTCCCCAACCAGTCCCAGGGCCTCCACCTCCCCAGGACACACTGGGATTCAGGGTCCCCCAGGGGTGATCGGGCAGAACCCTGTGGATGAGAGACCAGGGAGGGCGTTGGGAAAGGATTTTTCCCCCGGGCCCCAGTGGATTAGAACGGGGCAGTCGTCTGGACTCTGAGTCCTGGTGGAGGTGTGAAGCCTCGGGTGAGAGGTCTGTGGCGTCAGGAGAAGACTCCCCAGGCAAAGGGCCACTGCCTGGAGCGAGGGCCGCAGCACTGGAGAGGTAAGAGAGTTCTTCAGGCAGCCCTTCCCCCAGGCGGTCCACAGCCGCAGCAGCCATCATCAGCCAAGGATCCTCAGGGGGCCAGGAGTACACGGCAGGCAGCCTCCCGGACAGAGGCCACCTCTGCACAGCAGAGCCTCCTGCAGGTGGGAAGCCGTCTGATGGGGGCACGCTGAGCTTCAGAGGAGCCCTTGCCAAATCGTTAGACCTCGGGTCCAGAGCGGGCTGAGGATGTTCAGAGTTAGGGGGGCCAGTCAGGGAAGGTTGTCCAAGCTGAGGCAAGTTGGTCCCCAGGTTTTGGGAAACTTTCTCCTCCACAGCACCAATGCTCCGGGCAAAGAGGCCTGAGGGAAAGGGAAGATAAAGCAGCCAATGGTTTCCCTTCCCCATTCCGGTTCGCTTTGCTTCCCCTGTGCCTATTCTTCCTTTTCCCTCAGGGACCTAAATGTGTACCCTCCTGCCTTTACCCCTTTCCTTAATTCCTGTTTCCTGGGGGACCTCCAGTCTCTCCTGCCCAAGGGCATCACGGCCTCCGTACCTGGGAGATGAAGACAGACCAGAAGCAGGCCCAGGGGAGCGCAGCTCCCTGCCATGCGGCCCTGCATCCTGCTCAGCACCCGAATCTCCCTCAGCCCCAAGACAGCCAGCCCTTTATCCTGGTAGTGGGGTGGGGGACGGCAGAAACAGGCTGGGCTAGTGGTTGTGGAGACAATAAACCTCCACATTCCACCCTCATTCCTAATGCGGTCTGTGGCAACAGGTGCCACTTGAATGAGTGTCCCAGAGGAAGCTGGGTGTCCCCCGCCCTGGCTCCTTTCCTTGACCTCCCTGCCCCTCCTTGGCCTATGTGTCCTGGCTCACAGCTCATACATGGTTGCCAACCTCCCCAGCCCTGCTTCCCTACACACAAGGACCTCTACCCTGGGGTCCTACTCTGTTAATTGCCTCTCAGCAACAGAAACACTGGTTTCTCTTTGGGATCTGGATTGTTCCCTCCCAGCACCCCTTTCTCATGCATCCTCATATCTCCTTCACCTTGGCCCCAACCTGCAGGAGGTTCTGGGGTGCGGAAGTGGCCCCATCTGAGGAGCTGCTCCTAGATGGGACCCTGGATCTAGCTAGGGAAATGGGCCTGGATGCCATCCTTATGAGAAGCTGGCTAATTCCTGCTGCTGCAGTGACAAATTACCATGAACCGAATGACTTACAACAACATGGATTTATGACTTTACAGTTTTGGAGATCAGAGGTCCAAAACAGGTCTCAGTGGATTAAAATAAAGGTCTCAGCAGGGCTGTGATTCTTTCTGGGGGCTTTAGGGGAGAATCCCTTCCCCCCTTTTTCACCTTCTAGAGGTTACTTGTGTTCTTTGGCTCATGGTCCCCTTCCTCCATCTCTAAAGCCAAAATCAGCCAGTTCTTACACTGTATCACTTACACTTCCTCTTCTGCCTCCCATGTCCACACTAAGGGACCTGGTGACTACACTGGACCCACCTGGATAATCCATGATAATGTCTTTAAGGTCAGCTGACTAGCAACCTTAATCCCATCTGGAATCTTAATTTCCCTTTGCCATGTAACCTAATTCCCACATTCCAGGTATTAGGATGTGGACATCTTTGATGGTGTTGGGGTTGGAGACATCATTCTGCCTGCCACAGGTGGTCAGATGTGCCACATAGTGTAAGAAACACTGGGAGAAAGTGGCTATTTCCCAGTAACAGTAGAGGAGAGCCTTTAAATGCTGCTGTTGGATGGCCAGGACTTGATCCTTGTTGAAGCTGCGTAGGGAATGTAGAGACTCATTAACTGTTTGTTGACTTTTAAATATGTTTTATTTTTATTATAAAAATACAATGCCTTTGTTCTCTCCATGGCTTCCCGGAGGCCCCAGGAGTAGGCTTCCCTGGCTGTCCGAGGTCTAAACATGAGCTGTTGGCTGATTCTACTGCTGTGTCCTCCTCCCCAGCCCCTGCTGGCTTAACCACTGGAGGAGCGAAGAGCTTCTCTCCAGAACTGGCAGTGGGAGGAGCCCAGAGGCCTTTTTGGATGACATGCATGAGTTTTACACAAGCTTTTAATTTGGAGCACAGCAGAAGACTTGAGGAATCACCGCATCCGAGGGCCTCCCTCCCTGCAATTCCCATCCATGAAGCATCTGAGGACCTCAATTCCTGCCATTGGCTGCAGATCAGGGGCCAGATGCTGGACCAAGGGTGATTCAGCCTCTTTCTGGTCAATGTAATACATTTCTGCTGATTCCAAACTTGGACTTTCAACAGTTCTAAATTCAGGACCAGACAGCACCATCCTGATAGGAGGGAACGGGTTAAGTGCTAGGGTAGGGGTGAATTCCTTTGCAGCCAGCAGAGGCTCTGAGAGGTGGCCTGGGGTGGGGGTGGGGCTCCTACAGGGACAAGCACGATCCCCTCTGCCCTCCTTGGGATGCGGGAACTCCGTCTGCCTCAGCCACTCTCTGCCTGTCTCAGGACTTAAGTCACATGGACCCCACCGCCACTCCACTTTCTCTCTCTTCTCCAGTGGAGGTGACTCCTCTTCCACACTGGGGCACGCTGCCCTCTCAGCCCTCAACTGAGATCCATGTCGCTCACACTGTCACTCTGGACCCCAGCAGAGCAGCGAGTGTGAAGACGGAGAGACCACTGGCAGCTCTGTTCTGCCGCGGGCCGGGCCTCTTGATCTAGGCCAGTGAGTCACCCTGCTTGGCTGCACTCCCTGCCCCGCTCCCATCCTCTCAGTCCTTTACTCTCTCCACCCCCAGCTCCAGGAACAACGCCCACCTGGGCTCCTACTCAGCTGACAGGAATCTGGTTGGAGTTGTTGTGTCCCAGCCTTCCCAAGCTTCCAGGTGTCCCAGAAACCCAGGAAATCGAGACTCATGACTCCCAGAGAGGATGGCGTCTAGAAGGTGAGGCATGCTAATGGTGGAAGAAAAGGAGTTTGGGTGGGGAGGGGAGGGAAAGGAAACACTGAGGGCCCTAAATAAGGAGGAGGAGGATGCCATGGTGAATGAGGAATGGGAAGAGAATGGATTTCCTGGAGCAATGAGAGAGGACGGAAATGGTGGAAGGATCTGGGAGGCCAGGCACTCTCTGCTTTCAGTTCAACAAATATTTATTGTCTTCCTCCTCTGTGGGAGGAGCTGGAAGGTAGAAGAGAAATACAGGCCAGCTTTTGAAGGAAAATGAGAGACACAGAGACCTCTAGAGGCGTAGGAAGAGCACTAGCCAGGCTCTCAGAGGAGACCCAGGACTCCAAGAAGGCAAAAAGTCTTCACCTAGTCCCCACAGTTTACTGAGCATCTGTCCAGGATCCAGAGACAACAGGGAGCCTGCTCCAACCTCTGAGGGTGCCCCAGTGTCTCCCTCACCCAGGGAAGCATCTGAGCACTGAGGGAAGTGGCCGCAGGAAGGGGCTGAGATAAGGGCCTTGAGAGGCAATGGGTGTGTTGGGGATGGTGATCTAGGAGGGCGTGGTGAGCTCTGTAATGGAGGGTGGGCTGGAATTGGGAGCCAGAGCCCAGTGGCATATTGGGTGGGTTGACCAGAGGTCACTGAAAAGTGGCCACTGTTTCCAGATGATGGTTTGACTTTGCTTTATTTGGTAAAGCGGAAGAGGAAGGTATAACTTTTCCAGGCGTCAGAGGTGCTCTGGGAGCATTTCAGGGGTTTCCCAGTTGAGAAGCAGATGGGTGTGTTACTCAATGGACCATTTCAAAGACACAGCAGAGGGAATTGTAAGGGGTGGTGATCTGGCTGAGGAGCACTGCAGTGGAATGGGAATTTAAACAGTAGGAGAGAATCAAGAGAGGAGCTTTGAATCTACCATTTTGGGAAGAGGAAGGAGGAAGGGGTGATAAGAGAGAGTCTGCAACCTTGGGGTAGTGGAGAAAGCACAGCCACTCTTTTGGGAAGGAGGAGGGAAACTGAGCTGACCCTGTGCCTGGGCACTGGACTTCTCCCATATGGGATATAGTGTATGTGCTTGTTTGTGCCCAAGGCATGCACACACACGAAAGTTGACTTACGGACTGTCGAGTAACTCTCCCTGGGGTAGGAAAACCTCAGGGTCAGCTAGCTGGGGCCCCAGAGGCTTCACTTGGGCTAGGATATCCCGGATGGAGCGGCAGGGGATCTTTCCAGCACTGCCGGAGCCACAGGGCTTGGCACCAGCGGAGGGATCGGGATGGGGAGAGCCATCGGGGTCCCCAGTCAGTGTCAAGGAGGAGACAGACATGCAAGGGTGACCAGAAGAGCTGGACTTGCTGCCACAAGGCTGAAGGATGATTTTGCCACTGGATTGGGAACTGGAGCTGCTGCTGAAGGAGCCGGTGCCTGGCGGGGAGCAGGGGCTCTGGGAAGTGCTGCCGCAGGGATGGTAGGGTGAACTGGAGCTGCTGGAAATGCTAGAACTGCTGTGGACTCGAGAACTGAAGGGAGAGCAGGGTCCCTTGGAGCCTGTGGAGCTGCCTCCACAGAGCTGGACCCCACCAGTCCCCACGGGCTGGAATGCAATGACTGAGGAAGCTCCCGACTGGCTGGGGATGATGGGGTTGCTGGAGAAGTATTTGCCCTCAGAGATGGGGGGCCCAGCTGCAAAGGAAGGGACACCTGGAGAGCCTTTCACAGGGTTATCTTTGGTGAAGTAGCCCACAGGGTAGATTTTCCCTTTACTGTACGTCATGCCTGGAACCAGATAACTGTCAGAGGAGCCACCCACCACCTCATAGCCACCATAGGATTTGTCTACAGAGGTGATTGGGGGACAGGGCTTGCCTGGAAGGCCACCGTTGCTACAGGGGAGACCTTGAACCACTCCAGGGCCACCAGAACCGTGCTGCTCCACCACCACCACCACAGGCCTCTGACCCCCTGACACAGAGTGGGAGCTGGGGATGTAGGGACCGGAGTGTGAGATGATGGGCCCTCCACTGCAGGGAGAGTCGGGGATGTCCGAACTACAGGGACGCTGGTTGGAGATGACCCTTTGGCCACTGCTGGACACCCCAGAGGTCTGGGAAAAGGAAGAGCTTTGTCCAAGCTGGGAGGGGTTTAGTATTCCGCGGTAAGCGTTGTCACTGGTTGGCAGAGCAGAGCCACTCCCTACTTGGGAGCTGCTGCTGCTGAACTGAAAGCTGCTGCTGCTGGAATGAGAGCTGCTGCTTCCTGCGTTAGAGCCGCTGCTTCCCGAGTGAGAGCCGCTGCTGCCGCCGGGCTGGGAGCCGCTGCTGCCCAGCTGGGAGGAACTGGATGCACCTTGTAGACTAGAGCCAGATCCGGAGGAGTAGCTGACCTGGGAATACCCTGTTCCTGGCTTAAAAGATCCTGCAGAACCACCCTGGGCAACGCTGGATCCACTGGAGCCACCGCCAGAGCCACTGGCACTGGAAATGGAGCTGCCAGAACCGCTGGAGCCACTGTAGCTACTGAAGCCACTGGAGCCACCCTTCCCAGTGAGGCAGGGGTCATTAGGAGAGGTGATACGCGTGGGGTCCTTACAGGGGTCTGAGAAGGTGCCAATGCTCTTAGCCAAGGTCCCTGTGGAGGAAAGCAGTGGTTAGTAAGGGCCAGGGAGGCTTGGCTTCCTCCCTCACCTTTCAGCCCTGTCTCAGTCATCGGCCTCTATCTCAGTCATCGGCCTCTCGGGTTTCACCCAAGCGGAGCCCAGGGAGAGTTTAGGGATGGAGAAAGGAGGAAGAACTGGCTATTGTCTCTAAAGGATATTGAGGTGGCAGAATAAAAGCAGTTCCATTGTTTGGGAAGGGTGGGCAAACACCAACCAGAAAAATAGAAAATTAGGTGCCAAAGTGAGGGGCCTCAAAGGAATACATTGAAGATAAGAGGGGGCTGGGCACAGTGGCTCACGCCGGTAATCCCAGCACTTTGGGAGGCCGAGGTAGGAGGATTGCATGAGCCCCAGAGTTTAAGAGCAGCCTGGGCAACATAGTGAGACCCCATCTGTATTTTTTAATTTAAAAATTTTTTTAAAAGAAAAGGGAATGGAAAAATGGCAGGAACGAGTAGGTCTAAAAGAAAGGACCCTAAAGAGACAAAGAACTGGGGAAACTGAGGCTCTGAGCAGTCCAGGCATAAATTCTTAAGGAGAAAAATCCTGGGCCAGACAGTGGGACCAAAGGGAAGGAGAAGACAAAAGGCAAAACAATGGAGGGCTGAGAAGCGGAGAAAAACACAGAAGGAGACACTGGAAAAAGATAAAGCTGGGGGCAGAGGGGCTGAAATAAAGGAAAGGGCACTCGAGGACTAAGATTTGGTCACCAGCTTCTTCATGAGAGCCCAGGCTGTGGTCAGGAATGGAAACCCTATTTCCCATCCCAGCACTGGCCATGCCAGTAAGGCTGGGTGGGGGCCAGGATGTGGGGTCACTATCTGTTGCCTCAGAACCTGCTGGTACCAGTGTGGCAGGACACCGCACCCTGAGCCAGCCCTGCTCTCGCCGGCCCAGCCCAGGACGAAACCCGAGAGCCTCAAAGACTCCTGGCCATGATTAGCTTCCCTCTCTGAGCACACCTGCCTCCATCCAGCCCTTCATCTGACTTCTGCTGCCTTGACTTCCCTTTGGGATGTGGGAACACATCTTTCCTTATCTTTCCTTTCCTTTGCTCAAAACCCCAGGCCCAACTTACCCCGTGGTTCCTCCATGACTCTTTCACCTGCATTTCTTCTGCATTCCCTGGTCCCTCCAGGTCCCACGTGACACAAACAGAGCCACATAGCAAGTTACTGAACCTCTCTGAGCTTTAGTTTATACATTCAGAGGGGACAAATTTGTCTTGCCTTCTCACAGCATTACTATGAAGAAGACTAAATGAGATCATCCATCTGGAAGATTTTTTTTCTTTTTTTTCTTTTTTTTTTTTTTTTTTAAGATGGAGTTTGGCTCTTGTTGCCCGGGCTGGAGTGCAATAACATGGTCTCAGCTCACTGTAACCTCTGCCTCCTGGGTGCAAGCAATTCTCCTGCCTCAGCCTCCCAAGTAGCTGGGACCACAGGCACCCGCCACCACACCCAGCTAATTTTTTGTATTTTTTGTAGAGATGGAGTTTCACCATATAGGCCAGGCTGGTCTCGAACTCCTGACCTCAGGTGATTCACCTGCCTTGGCCTCCTGAAGTGTTGGGATTACAGGTGCAAGCCATCGTGCCCGGCCAGAAGATGTTTTAGAAAGTGTAAAGCATTATATATTAAGATTTATTACTGCCACTCATCCTGACCCCTCCACTAACAGCCAGACTTCCATCCTCTGTGATGTCCCTGTTCTCTCCTCAGAAAGAAATTCTCTGCATGCACCTCCACACCAAACCCCTTCTGTGCCAGTTCCCTTCAGTACTCTGCACAAATCCACCAAGCATTGCCTTTCTCTTTCTCTATTCCCTCAGACACCAACCACCTACCAGACCATGGGAAGGTCGCAGAAATTCCTTAAGCGCTGTAAGTACCCGGTGGTCAACAACACAGGTCCAGGGGTCACCTGGCCTGGGGTTGAAATCTTGGCTTTGCTGCTTTCTAATGCATGATCCTGAGCTAGTTTCCTAACCTCTTCATGCCTCAGTGTCCTCATCTGTAGAGTGGAAATAGCAAATCTCCTTTCATACCATTCTTGTAATGATCAAAAGTGCTAATGTAGGCCGGGTGTGGTGGTTCATGCCTGTAATCCCAGCACCTCGGGAGACCGAGGCGAGTGGATCACTTGAGTCAGGAGTTCCAGACCAGCTTGACCAACATGGTAAAACCCTGTTTCTACTAAAAATACAAAAAAAATTATCCAGGTGTGGTGATGGGTGCCTGTAGTCCCAGCTACTCGGGAGGCTGAGGCATGAGAGTTGCTTGAACGTGGGAGGTGGAAGTTGCAGTGAGCCGAGATTACGCTACTGCACTCCAGCCTGGGAGACACAGTGGGACTCCATCTCACCCAAACAAAAAAAAAAAAAAAAAAAAAGGTTCTAATAAATAATCCAAATGTGCTTAAAACAGAGTCTAGCATATTAAAAGGCTCTAAAAATGATATCACTATTAAATGTCCAATCATTATCGTGTAGTTCTCCCATAATAAAAATCACCACCACCACCATTTATATAAACCTCTAGAATTTCCAAAGCATGTGTCACATACATTATTTAATTTGAGACACACAGACTAGAGATAGGTGTCATTAACCCCACTTCAGAATTTCAGAAACTGAGGCTCAGGAAGTTTAAGAAACTTACCTGAGGTGACAAGGCAGTGAGGAGCAACCCCCAGACTCAAAAGGCAGATTCCAGAGCCCCTGCCCGTCCCCTTCACTGAGTCCTCTCCTGGACTCTCCCTCCCACCTTCCTCCTGTTCCCAGGGCCCCCAGCCTCCTACCTGGCAGAAGGAGACCAGTCAGCAGCAGTGCCATCATCCCGCGCCCGCCCACACGCCCCATCCAGGGTGCCCGAGACGAGCCCATCTCGGACTGCACAGCCTCCTGACTGACGGCAGCTCAAGGACACCCGGGTCCTTTATGCCAGAGCTGGACATTCCCTGGGCAGGAGTCACTGTGGGGAGGGGAGGAGAGGTGGAGGGGGTGGGTGCCCTGGGGGAAGTTGGTGTGGCCGGGAGGAGCGTGGTAATCAACCCGGTGCATCTGCCTACTCAGCAGCAGCAGTGGCTGCAGTGTGGGGTACCCATGGCCACGGGGCCCTAACGATCCTGCCACCTGACAGGCCTGGCCCCGGCTCCTCATTGCTTAACCCGGAACCAGGCGCTCTGCCCCACGGCCACCCACTCTGGGGCGGCCACTCTTGCCACGGGACCCAGCTGCCTGGCTCCTTAACTCTCCTGCCTACCCTGGCTTGGCCTGTCTCCCCATCTGCCCTCCACTCGCAGACGTGGGCGTTTCAGCTTTTTTTCCCACACTTGGGTGCCTGTTCCAGCCCCACCTGCCCAACCCCAGTGAGGTCCCATTCACAGCCCCCAATCTGCTCCTTCCTTGGGACCCCATCACTCCACCTCCACTTTCCTCCTTCAAATATGAGTTCTGCCCCCATCCCCCAGGCTCTCCCTCCCGCCACTCCCCAAGTACTAGGCCAGCCATACACCTGTTACACGTTCCATCACCTGGGGAACCTTCTCCTTCCCAGAAATGGGGCACCACATTCCCAAAACCAATCCCTGACCTGTTCCTTCTGGGGACGGCATGGTGATGGGGGGGGGGGTTGCTGGGAGCCAGGGCTCAGCCAGGGGAGGGGCCTGGGCTGATGACCTCTGTCATAGCTGGGCCTTGGTTACTCACAGGACACTCACAGCCCCTCCTCATGGCTGGAAACTCAGACCTCAAGGGTGAGCAAGAGGCTAAGAAGGCTAATTGGGAAGGTGGTGGCCCCATAGCCCATCTGCTGGCCCTGGGCTGGATGAGCGAGCAGGAAGCAGCAGCCAACTCTGGGCAGGTCAAGGAGGGCCAGGCAGGCTCCCGGGTCCTCAAAGGATGAAAGGAGGCCAGGAGAACCAGAGCCCTGCCGTCTGCTGAGAGGGTGGTGGCTTCTCCTCCATTGCACTGGCCTCCCTCCTGCTCTGGCCCCGGCCCTGCCCCAGCCAATTAATTGCTCACTAGTATTGCCGGAGTATCAGTATCGGAGGGAGGTGCCTAGGAGTTCAGCAAGCTGCCCTCTCCCCCGCCAGGCCTCGGACACCCCTGCTCCCCTCACCCAAACTCACTTCCAAAACCTCATCTCCTCACAAAGGCAGGTCTATCCCTGGATCTATCCCTTGGGCTGGTCTCTCCCATTCCCTCTACCTCCTGACCGGCCTTTAAGTCCAGACCAGCAGGATGGAAATGTTTCCTGTCTGTGCTGTCTGACACAGTAGCCACTAGCCACATGGGGCTAGTCTAACCACCAAAGATTTGGAGCTTTAATTTTAATTAATTGTAATGATGTGGTTGACCACATGCAGCTAGTGGCTACCATCTAGTCTTGCTCTTGACTTGCTGGTGACACTCAGAATGGGAGTGGGAGGAAAGAGGGGCTGAGGGAGCCAAGGAGAGAGGAAGGGATAGGACAGGGTCCCCTGAAGGGGGCTAATGCCTTGGGAAACACAAAAACCACTGGCTTCAGAATGAAGATGACGTGGGTTCAGGTCCCAGCTAACCTCTTGGCTTTGGGCGACTCTTCAAACCTTTCTGAACTTCCATTTCCTCATCTGTAAAATGGGGATATTTTAAATAACACTTAGCTCACAAGGTTTTTGTGAACGGCAAATGGGAAATTATCAGAAAGGTTAAATGGGACAAGGGGTGCAGTCCCCCTGTAGGAAGCCCAACAAATGGAGCCCTGCAGGTGCTCCTGTCTTCATCCTTCCACTGGGGGAAACAAATAGGCCAGCTTCACCCCTACGGCCCCAGGCTCCCTTTCCTGAGTCTCCAGCCCAGCCAATGCTAGCAGAGTCTCTTCTGCTCCCTTCCTGCCTTGTGTAGAGCTGCAGGCACAAATGTGAGACACAGATACCGTTTAAAGTGATGCTGCTCGGCGGGCGCGGTGGCGCTTATAATCCCAGCACTATAGGAGGCCGAGGCGGGCGGATCACTTGAGGCCAGGAGTTGGAGATCAGCCTGGCCAACATGACGAAACCCTGTCTCTACCAAAAATACAAAAAAAAAAAAAATTAGCCAGGCTTGGTGGTAGGCACCTGTAATCCCAGCTACTCAGGAGGCTGAGGCAGGAGAATCACTTGAACCCGGGAGGCGGAGGTTGCAGTGAGCCAAGATCGCACCATTGCACTCCAGCCTGGGTGACAAAAGGGAAACTCTGTCTCAAAAAATAAAAAATAAATAAATTAGGTGATGCTGCTCTTTCCGAACATCATTTCCTCCTGTGGGCCTCCCTAGACTCTCAGGCTTGGCTCCCTGGAGGACCTGGGCGAGCAGGCAGGGGCTCTGGGGCAGCATGGGGAGTGACAGAGGTCAGGGAGCAGTGGACTAGAAGGTGCTGGGCCATTCCCCAGGTTGGGAGGGGAGAAGGCAGCGGAACAGCGGAACAGCACAACCTGTGGCTTCTTCTTTTCTAACACAAACTTCCCCTGACCAGCCAGAGGTAGCAAAGTTTTTCCTGTTTTCTTTCTCACATTCCTCCCAGCTGCCGTCAGAACTTGGCCAAGACAGCCAGGCTGGAGGAGGCACAGTCTCTCCCGGCCTCCTGCCAGGTTCCAGCCGCCCACGTGGGTTGGTGGTGCAGCCACATCCCTCCTCCTAGCTACTCTCTCCTGTCCACTCCATCCTGCCACCCTGGGCTGCCCAGTTCCTCTGCTGTCCTGCCCACCTCTGGGCCCTCAAACTCCAATCTGCTGCGCTTTTGATTTTTTACTGAAACCCCGTCTTCAGTGCTGGATTTTACGCTGCTGCTCACCATTAATCTTTCTCTCAGCGCAGGCGGTGAAGACCTAAAGCTAATGGGGCTTAGGAAGGTAGAGAAGGGCATCAGCTGAGTGCCCGCACAGGCCAGGGTCACCTTCAGTGAAGCTGCCAGTTTGGTGATGTCCACAGTAGTGCAGGCAGTTCTGCTGTGTTCTACAGCGACAGAGTCTGCCCCTGCCCGTGCCCGTGCATTGGACCAGGTGAGAAAGTGTGGGTGGCGTAGACACCCCGCACCTGAAAAATCAAACTCAAAGCACGTGCCTTCCATAGGCAAAAGGTGGGGCTCCCAGTCATGTATTGTGAAGCAGGCAGGTCACTCTCCCCTCCACCCCTCCAGCAGCCCTGTGCTACTGTGTTTTCTGTGCCAGACTTGGCCCCCAGTGCACGCTCCTCTGCTGTGCTTTGGAAGTTGCACTGAGAAGGAAGAGGAATTGTTCCTTGCCCTGAGGAGCTGCCATCCAACTGGGGACACACAGCCTAGAGTGGAGAAGCGGAGAGGCACTGGGCTTCAGGGAGGTGGCAGGACTTTCCCTAGGCCTTGAGGAATGATGAGAGAAGCACGGAGCAGGCAGCCAGACACCGGGCCTTGCGGTGCTTCAGGTGTGTTTAGAACCAGCGGATGGCGTGGGTTGGTGTGGGACATGCATGTGGAGGAACTGTGGTGTGGGAGAAGGGACAGGCTGCTTGGATCGGGATTGTAGATGACCTACAACACCAGGTTAAAAGAATTTGGATTCTACAGGAATTGCAGTAAATGTGAGAGGGTGCAGGGAACCAAAGGGCTTTGAATGATCACAAAGGGGGCTGAAGCATGGCGTGGTGTAGTCCCAGCTACCCAGGAGGGGGAGGTGGGAGGAATCTGAGGCCAGCTGGGGCAACATGAGGGACTCCATAAAGACGAGGCTTGGGGCACGAGATCCACCGTGTACTGACTGCCTGCTGCAGGCGGACACGGTGCCTGGGTATTTAACATGTGTTGTCTTGTTCAATCTTCACAACAGCCCTACAGGGTAAGTGCTTTTTCCCCGTTTCACAGATGAGAAAACTAAGTTCAAATTATTTGTCCAAACCAGCTGCTAACAAGCAAAAATGTTTGAAAAAGATTCAAACCCAGGCCTGTTGGACTTCCAGGTCCACATAGATCCTGTTACTCTGCAGCTGACACCATGCTATAAACGGGTGGCAGGGGTTCATGGACAGGCTTCAGAGGTTCCCTAAACCCTGTAAGGATGTGTGCAAAATTCCTTATGTAAGTGAATCTTGCTGGAGAGAAGATTTCCACTCTCAAAGCTGGCCAGCTATGGTGACTCACGCCTGTAATCCCAGTGCTCTGGGAGGCTGAGGCAGGTGGATCACTTGAGCTCAGGAGTTTGAGGCCAGCCTGGCCAACATGGCAAAACCATCTCTACTAAAAATACAAGAATTAGTCAGGTGTGGTGGCGAGCACCTGTAATCCCAGCTACTCGGGAGGCTGAGGCACGAGAATCGCTTGAACTGGGGAGGCAGAGGCTGCAGTGAGCTGATTTCGTGCCACTGCGCTCCAGCCTAGGTGACAGAGTGAGACTCTGTCTCAGAAAAAAAGAAAAAGCCCAGAAGAGCAGCTTATTTTGTGCTGGGGAGACAAGGAAGGGGGCCACCCGGAGCTGCTCTGGGGCTCCAGGGCCTGTGGGCTCCTCCCCTCCTTTGTTCCTCTCTGCCTGACTCCAACGAGAGGCCATTTCCTCTCCTCCTCTCTCTTTCTCCATGACACCCACGCTTCCCTGTGGACTCACCTCTGCAGCCACAACACCACCCTCCTCTCCCTGGGCGGAAGCCGACGCTCCTGGCCCACTCCCAGTAGGGGATGTCCTCTGAGTTGTTTTTCCTGTGCGGGGAGGGGTGGACTGAGTCATCCACACTCTTCACCTGGATCCTCTGGTGACCGAGAACATAGAAGGAGAGGGTACATCCCCAGTGGGGCGCTCCGAACATCTCTGTGGGGACAGACCCTTCTTAGTCCAGGTGCTCCCATGGGACTGGCTACATTCTTGACTCAGTTTTAGTCTGTACTTTTCTGCCTTCCTCTTGGGAATGCCCCTCACTTCTGTGGCTTCTTTCCTGTAGTAGACGATCGAGGGTGGAATCCACAGTCCATGGCCCTGACTTCTTGCCTTCCTCTCAAATAGACTCTGCAGCCAGCCATCCATGCAGCGCCCCAACGGCTTTGAAATGCAACAGAAACCATCACCCCCAGACCGTGGGCTCCATGCCAGTGGGCAAAGCACAGGTGTGTTCACTGAGTTCCCAGCACATAGCTGTGGCAGGCACTTGGTGATATTTAGAAATGAAGGAATGGATGAATGTGTCCAGGCTGTGCTTCCCCTTTCTACCTTACTCAGGGACATGGTGCCCCCCTGTCTGGCTTCCTGCCCTGTGCCCCCCACCCCAGCACAGCTCCTATGTGCAAAGCCCCGGTAGGTGCTGGAGGGATTCACTGATGGCCTTGGCGGAGGTGGCAGTGGGCACGTGCACTTGGCTCTGACACAGCCACTCATGCGACACCCTGTGCAATCTCGGCCTGGGCCTGTGTGTCCTGCCCTCATTCCTCACAGGTGACTGTCTCCCCTGAGCCACTCTTCTCTCTATTGGGTTAGCTCCTTTTTTTCCCCCAGGGATGCAACACATTTTTATGAACAAACAGCAGAGTTCACATGGCTGTGATGAGGACATACTGGGGTTTCCCCTGGACATGGCATTAATCTGATGCTAGGGGTGGGCAGGATCGTGCTGTATACTTTTAAAAAAACCCTAGGGGGTTCTGTTAGGTGCCCCCACTGCAGCATAACGAGTTGCCCCTAGCTGAGAAGCCCTTTCCTGGGGCTTGTCCACGCCATCCTCTCCCTGAGATTATTCCAGGTATGGGCGGTGCTTGGCTCTACTCTTCCTTCCTTCTTCCCTGCTTGGCTCCTGGTCCATGGCTCTCTCCTCTATGGAATGGCCTCCTGGAGCTTGGCTGGGTCAGGCCCCACTTTCCACTCTTCCCATGCCTGTCCTCACCCTCCCAGCAGCCCTGCCAGCCTCCGAGGGGCCCAGGGCACTGCAGTCGGTACATGGGAGTGAGGACTGGAACCAAAGCCAGGTGCACCTTAGGGCAATGAATCCTGAAAAAGGAAGAATTCGGCAAGTGGAGTTCTGCCCATCAAGCTGTCTTCCCCCAAGTCTTTTCGCTTCACCCCCACTTCCCAAAAGCAGCAGGGAGTCAGCTGCAGGGCAGTCGGTCTGAAGCCTTCATGGCTGTTTCAGTCACAGCCTGAGGCCACCCCTCTTGTCTTGCGAGGAGGGAGACCACAGAGGCTGTGTCTAGCTCTCACAGTAACAAGACTGTTCCCCTGTCTGTTCTGCGGAGTGAGTGCGAGGGAAGAGAGCGCTCCTTGTCTGCTCACTATGTGCACCTATTAAATAGTCATTCTTTCCACTAGGGCTATTAGTGGTTTTTATTGTTACTGGTCACCCAGAATTAGAGTCCCAACTCCCTCAAGAGGGTGAAAGAGAGGGCCGAGGTGCAGTCTGAACGTGCTCTCAGGAGAGGAGAGGCCGGAAAGACTTGTACCAGCAGGGACTTCTAGGGTGAGCTGGCCCTTGGAGCACCTGGGAATGGGACTGTCGCGGCCCATCTTCCCTCCTGTGTTCTGGGCTGTCTGAGTGCCTCTGGGTGAGAGTTCCTCATAAGAGGGAGCTTCTCCTACTGCCCAGTGTCTCCCTGGCACCTGGGCATCACCCAGCACACAGAGGTGACCAGCAAACACAGACTCCTGTTGGAGAGGCATCTCGTGTCCCACTCTGTTCTCTTGGGCCCTGAGACTAGAACATCTTCACCAGAGACCAGCACCGACTCCTTGGCAGTCTATAACATTCAGCTCGGTGCCGACGTCTGCCCATGCAGGACTGATCTCCATTCTCTCAATGACCGTAGGAGACAGGAATTATTAGTAGTAGCAGTATTAGTATTTTGAGATGGAGTTTCGCTCGTAGCCCAGCCTGACCAACATGATGAAACCCCATTTATGCTAAAAATATAAAAATTAGCCAGGCGTGGTGGTGAATGCCTGTAATTCCAGCTACCTGGGAGGCTGAGGCAGGAGAATCACTTGAACCCGGGAGGTGAAGGTTGCAGTGAGCCGAGATCACACCACTGCACTCTAGCCTGGGCAACAAGAGCGAAACTCCGTCTCAAAAAAAAAAAAAAAAAACCATATACACATGTTTGGACCATCCCTATTTCCTTGCTATGCCTAAGCTGCATCACACCATTCATCACTAGGTGACATCCTACTACAGATACCTTGTAAGCATCTATGTATCTCTCTCCTTCCCCACTGGAAAGCAGCTCCCTGAGGGCAGGGCCCTGATCCTTTGACTGGCTGTGGTATCCTCTCCTGTAGACCACCGGCTCATGAAATAATCACGGAGAGAATGTGTAAATGATGATCATGAGGTCCACTTGGACAAGCAGCCTGTGCCTGAATTTTCCTGAGGGCTCCAGACCCTGTCTAGCCTCATCTCACATGCCTGGCTCACCTTAGAATGGTTGCCTTGGCAGCTAAGGGGACACCTGTGTGCCTTGATGATGGCCCCAGGGAGGGGATGACATTAGTGAGGGAAAGAGCTCTGGAGGAAAACACCTGAGAGGAGTCTCTAGGCTGCCCTCTGGTGGCAGTTCTTGGAACAAGACCTGAGAGCCGCTACCTTGGCTCTCAGCATTGCCTGCGAGTTTAGAGGTTATTAAAGAAATCCCCCTAAAGTCCCATCCCAAGGTCACACAGAGAACGAACTGCAAAGTAGGGACAAGAACCCAAGTCATAGTCTGTTGATCTTACTACCATGCTATCCTGCCTGCCCCCATCACAGGAGTTGAATTACGCTGCAAAAGGAAAGGTGGGGATGGGGTGGGGACTGGGGATTTCCCGGAGGGAGTTGATTAATGCCTCTGAGGATATTAGGGGGAAAAACCCACAGGAGGTGCATTTGGTTTAATTCAGCAAGTTTTCTGAGTCAGTGCCAGGCACCTGGTGGGCACTTAATTAAAGATTAGCAGGAGAAAAAAAAAATGTACAGTAAGAAAGCTTAAGTTTATACCAAAGCGAGTCTCAGGTCAAATGATTTTGAAACATGAAATTGGCAGAGAAGTTAGGAGTCCCTCCTGGGCTCCTACGTCAGGGTGTGCCCCTCTCTAATTTAACTTTTCATCAAATTTTATTGCCATAATGTGTATGTTTGTCCTTCCTAAACACAGAGCCCCTTGAGGGCAGGGAGGACTGAAACTGCTTCCTGGGACTGTCACCATCACCTAGCACCCCACACAGCAGATGCTCAATAAATGTTGATTGTGTGGGCAAATGGATGAACAAATGAATGGTTTGGAGTTTCCCTGGCCAGAGAGCTTCAAAGCAGAGCAGACAAGCATCTCTTCTGTCTAGTCCAAAGACATCATTCGCTGCCCAAAGGCTGAGGGCTGTGCCTGGTGCTTTCTCAAGGTAACTCAGATTGTATAATTAGATTTTACCATGATACTAGTTCTAGGTTCTTTCTTTTTCTCTTGGCCAAGCATTTAATAACTATCTGTCATGTCCAAGGTTCTGGGCTATTGTTCCGTAAATCTGTGATCCTATTCTGTTATTTAATTCCATGACTCTGTGTTGACATAGATGTGACGGTGTCCCTGCTGCATTTACTCCTAGGTGAGCTTAGCCAAGGCAGGTAGAGAGGAACCAGCGTTGTCTAATCTGAATGGAGAAGCCAGCACAATGGGTTTCCCTGTGCAGATACCTCCATACCATCCAGGCCCACTCACTCTCCTCCCCAGCTAATGAAGACAACCTGTCTGAGTGCCAAGATCCACTGCCTATTAATAGGTACTAAAATCTCCAGTTGCCTCATGCCTCCCCCTTCTCTTTCCCACTCACCTACCTGCCACGTCAGCCTGGGAAGAATTGGTTTGCAGCCCGGCAGTCCCGCATCCAGTCTTGACTCTGGCACTTGTGATATGACTCGCACAGCTGAGTTACCTCTCTCAGTGTTGGTTCCTCATCTGTGAAAGGGGGCTAATCATTTGTTTTATTGAGTGCCTTCTAGGCCAGGTGCTAGGAGAGAAGTAAGGGATACAAAGAAAGACAAGGCACCATTGCTGTCTTCAAGAAGCTCATACTTTCCAAGGAAGTAAAGGCATGGAAACCCACACAGTGCTGTGGAATTAAAGAAGGCGGCATGCTGTAAAGAACCCCGGCTTTTCCCCTAGGCAACATCAGGGGCTCAGTTCCTTTCCCTCACTTTCTCTCTTCTTTAAGAATTTCTCTTAAATGGATGTGGTGGCACATGCCTGTGGTCCCAGCTACTCAGAATGCTGAGGCAGGAGGATCCCTTGAGTTCAGGAGGTCAAGGTTGCAGTGAGCCGTAATTGTACCACTGCACTCCAGCCTGGGCAACAGAGCAAGACCCTGTCTCAAAAAAATTTAATAATTAATTAATTAATTAATTTTTTCCTCCTAACTAACTCCACCTTAGTGGCTTGAGGGTCAGTTTGAGGGGTCCAGACTTCCTTCTTCCTTTCTAGCCATAGCTCCCTGACACAGTATACCCAGAGATGTATGTGTTTCTCCCCACCCTGGGCACAATTTTTTTTTTTTCCTGAGACAGGGTCTCGCTCTGTCATCCAAGCTGGAGTGCAGTGGTACAATCATGGCTTACTCCAGCTTCAACCTCTCATGGTCAGGTGATCTTCCTGGCCAACATGGCGAAACCCTGTCTCTACTAAAAAAACTACAAAAATTAGCCGGGACTCCAGGCATGCACTACCATGACCTGGCTAATTGTTAAACATTTATTTTTGCAGAGGTGAGGTCACACTATGTTGCCCACACTGGTATCAAACTCCTGAGCTCAAGTGATCCTCCTGCCTTGGCCTCCCAAAATGCTAGGATTACAGGTGTGAGCCATTGTGCCCGGCCCTTTTTTAATTTTTATTTTTTTTAGAGATGGGGCCTTGCTGTGTTTCCCAGGCTGGTTTTGACCTCCTGAGCTCAAGCAGTCTTCCACCTCAGCCTCTGGAATAGCTGGGATTACAGGTGCACCCTACCATGTTCAGCTAACTAATTTTGTTTGTTCAGAGACAGGATCTCACTATGTTGTCCCGGCCCAGGCACAGTTCTAATAGAGGAGACTTTCAGATATGAGCTCCCACACCTGGCACCAAGATCTTCCCTAATTTTCCCCCGCCTTTTCTCTCCAACATGTCTCTCTCTTCTCCGGGTTACTCTACTCCAATCATTCTGATCTACTCTTTGTTAACTGGGCCCTTCATTAAATAATTTAGCCTTTCACAAGACACACATTAAGTGTGCATGACGGCCGAGGCACTGTATTCTGTGTCAGGGTTACACAGATTAATAAAGAGCTGGGATGGGCCGGGCGCAGTGGCTCACACCTGCAATCCCAGCACTTTGGGAGGCCAAAACTGGTGGATCATGAGGTCAGGAGTTCAAGACCAGCCTGGCCAACATGGAGAAACCCTGTCTCTACTAAAAAACTACAAAAATTAGCCGGGCATCATAGTGGGCGCCTGTAATCCCAGTCACTTGGGAGACTGAGGCAGTAGAATTGCTTGAATCCAGGAGGCAGGGATTGCAGTGAGCCAAGATGGTGCCATCACACTCCAGCCTGGGCGACAAGAGCAAGACTCCGTCTCAAAAAAAAAAAAAAGAGCTGGAATGATGTAGTGGTTAAAATCAGTGTTGTTAGCATAGCACAGACCTGAATTCAAATCCTGATTCTGCCATTTGTCCCCTATGTGACCTTGCATGGGTCACTGTACCTCTCTAGTCCTGTTTCTGTTTTCTTTGAAGTGATCATGATAGCGTTGTTATGCAAAATAAATGACAGCATAAGCTGTAGAGCGTTCGGCAACAGTGCCCTATGACACATGCCCAGTAGAAAGTAGTTGCAATAGTGTGTAGCAAATATTTTGCATCCTAGGTTGGATTCCCCAGAAGCAGACCCTGAGACAAAGATTCAAGTACAAGAGATTTATTTAAAACTAATGAGAAGTTGGGTGCAGTGGCTCACGCCTGTAATCTCAACACGTTGAGAGGCGGAGGCAGGAGGGTTTCTTGAGCTCAGGAGTTTGAGACCAGGTTGGGTTATATAGTAAGACCCAATCTCTACAAAATAATTAGCCAGACGTGGTGGCATGCGCCTGTGGTCCAGCTACTTGGGAGGCTTAGGTGGGAGGATCGCTTGGGCCTGGGCTGCAGTGAGCTGTGATCGTGCCACTGTACTCCAGCCTGGGCAACAGAGTGAGACCTGTCTCAAAAATAAATAGGCTGGGTATAGTGGCTCACTCCTGTAATCCCAGCACTTTGGGAGGCCAAGGCGGGCAGATCATCTGAGGTCAGGAGTTCGAGACCAGCCTGGCCAACATGATGAAACCCTTGTCTCTACTAAAAATACAAAAATTAGCCGGGCGTAGTGGCGCATGCCTATAATCCCAGCTACTCAGGAGGCTGAGGCAGGAGAATTGCTTGAACCCAGGAGGCGGAGATTGCAGTGAGCTGAGATCACACCACTGCATTCCAGTCTGGGCAACAAGAGAGAGATTCCGTCTCAAAAATTGAATACATAAATAAATACATAAATAGAAGTAATGAGGGGACCGGGAATGATGGCTCACATCTGTAATCCCAGCACTTTGGGAGGCTAAGGCGGGTGGATTGCTTGAGTTCAGGAGTTCCAGACGAGCCTGGGCAACATAGCAGAACCAACTTGTTCTACAAGAAATTTAAAAATTAGCCCGGCGAGGTGGGAGTGCATCTGTAGTACCAGCTACTCAGAAGGCTGAGGCAGGAGGACCACTTGAGCCCAGGAGGTCGACACTGCAGTGCATTGTAGTCATGCCACTGCACTTTAGCCTGCGTGACACAGGTGAGAACCACCTTCTAAAGAAAAAAATAATGAGGGTGGGGAGGAGTGGAAAGGAGTGGGAAAGTGGACCCAAGCACATGAGTGGAACCAAGCTAAGACACATGGAGGCTGGGAGGTATTGACACCTTTATATTTGCGCACCATTGGTTAAGACTGGGAGTGGCCTGGGGGGAGTGGGAGGGTGGTGGCACGGCTGAGGGTTCATGGGAAGAAAAATTTCCAAGTACTTCAGCTCTGTCCCTGGAAAAGGTCCCAGCAGAGGCATAGGCAGGGCTGTTGTGGGTAATTTGGCTGTCGGGGGTGATTTAGCACTCTGGGAGTCCGTAGGCACAAAAATGGTAAAGGAGTTCAAGAAGAAATGCATAGAACCTGATCCCTGCTCTGAGAAGTTCATGACCTGGGAAGGGAAGACAGACATGAATAAATCATTGCCATAGTGTGACTGGGGTGAAGGGTGTTGGGGGTCAAATTTGGGGTGCCGGGAGGAAGTGGTGTAGGCAGAGGCGTTCCTGAGGAGAAATACAGCTGGTTTGGGAGAGGAAGGACATTCCAGACATAGGGAACAGCACACACAAAGGGGCCACAGTCATATAGGGCGCAAGGGCTGGTCCCCACAGCTGGTGGGTCTGGCCATGGGCGCATCATCCAGGGGCAGCTTCTGCCTGCGCCCCTGCGCAGGCTCAGGTCCACCTTCTGGACCATCCTCAGACACACCGCCTCTTCTCTCAGGTCAGCTCCGAGGTCCTCCTCCCAGAAGCCTCCCTGACTAGTCCAGCTCACTGTAACTCTTCTGAGAACTCACAGCGTTTACTGCCAAGGCTATTATCTTAGCCTTACTCATGTCATTATTAGGACATATGCATTTTACTGTCTTTGATATTATTTAAACTTAACTGTAAATCTGCCTCTCTCAATTTTAAGTTTCAGTAGAAACTACATATTTTTACTCTTTATGTTTCTTATATTCTCCATGGCACCGGCATTCGTGCAGACACACTGAGGAAGTAAGAGAATGGATCAGATGAGGCAGGCGAAGTGGTTCATGCCTGTAATCCCAACACTTTGGGAGGCCGAGGCGGGTGGATCATCTGAGGTCAGGAGTTCAAGACCAGCCTGACCAACATAGTGAAACCCTGTCTCTACTAAAAATAAAAAATAAAAAAATTAGCCGGACGTGGTGGCAGGCACCTGTAGTCCCAGCTACTCGGGAGGCTGAGACAGGAGGTGCTTGAACCTAGGAGGCCGGAGGTTGCAGTGAGTCAAGATCGGGCCCTGCACTCAAACCTGGGCAACAGAGTGAGAATCGTCTCAAAAAAGAAAGAAAGAAAATGCATCTCTTGAATGAGATGGGAAGGGAGAAGAGTTGATTTGTTTCCCACTGACATTTGGCAGGTAGTCCCAGCTACTCGGGAGGCTGAGACAGGAGAATTGCTTGAACCTAGGAGCCGGAGGTTGCAGTGAGTCAAGATCGGGCCACTGCACTCAAACCTGGGCAACAGAGTGAGAATACGTCTCAAAAAAAAAGAAAGAAAGAAAATGCATCTCTTAATGAGATGGGAAGGGGGGAAGGGTTGATTTGTTTCCCACTGACATTTGGCAGCTCTGGGAAGGGCACTCTGGTCAGGCCCAGGACAGGCAGGAGATTCTTTCTAGGGAGGGGCACATATTCATCTGGAAAATGATTCCCTTAAAGCTGGTCCTGCCGACACACCCCGGGAAGGTTTGCATATACCACCAGGGGTATCCAAGCCATAGGCCATTAAACAGAGATGAAACTTGCCTTCCCATTCTTCAATATAGTGTTCCCAGAAAGGGAGAAATGTGGGCCTGAATGTGACTGTGACTTGCATAGTGATATTTCCAACCCTCCTCCTGCTGAGCCCCATAGCCTTAGGTACTGGATATGGGCAAGATAGAACTCAGATTACTTCCAGGTCTCTATAAATTTAGGACTGTGAAGAGGGCATCCAAATAGTCAAAAACGTAAGTGTTGGCCGGGTGCGGTGGCTCATGCCTGCAATCCCAGCACTTTGGGAGGCCGAGGCCGGTGGATCATGATGTCAGGATTTCGAGACCAGCCTGGCCAACATGGTGAAACCCCGTCTCCACTAAAATACAAAAATTAGCCAGGCATGGTGGTGCACACCTGTAATCCCACCTACTCAGAAGGCTGAGGCAGGAGAATGGCTTGAACCTGGGAGGCGGAGGTTGCAGTGAGCCAAGATCGCGCCATTGCACTCCAACCTGGGCAACAGAGTGAGACTCTGTCAAAAAAAAAAAAAAAAAAAAAAAAGGCCAGGCGCTGTGGCTCATGCCACAGAAGAAGGCAGAGGCGGGCGGATCACAAGGTCAGGAGATCGAGATCATTCTGGCTAACACAGTGAAACCCCGCCTCTACTAAAAACACAAAAAATTAGCCGGGCTTGGTGGCGGGCGCCTGTAGTCCCAGCTACTCGGAAGGCTGAGGCAGGAGAATGGCGTGAACACGGGAGACGGAGCTTGCAGTAAACCGAAATCGCGCCACTGTACTCCAGCCTGGGCGACAGATAGAGACTCCATCTCAAAAAACAACAACAACACCACCACCACCACCAACAAAACCCACTAAATGTTAGTTAAAGCAGCAGCCTAGATTCAGAATTAAGAAAACGTGATTTTTATTTTTCCGTTTCATGGAAGCAACAGCTGTCTACTGATAATTCCTGCCGCCGGCCACCAGGTGGCAGAAGGGAACACAGTACCGCAGCCCTGCCCCAGCGATCGCGCGGGCGGGAAGACGCGGAGGGAGGTAGGTGGGGCCGAGGCCCGGAGGTGAGGTAGGAGAGTAGACTTAGGCTGTCAGAGGAAAAAACCGGCAATGTGAGGGCTAAGTACGGATCTCAGGAGGGGACAGGAAATATTCAGAACACCACCTTCTGGGTTCAGAATAAAACCGGGGGAATGAGGAAGAGGTTTAAGGAGACGGGCTAAATTGGAAGAATTCACGGGGAATCAGAGTGGAGAGGGCGTGGGTGTCTGGAGATGCCTGGGAGCAGAACGGCTGGCGGAACCCCATTATCTGTACTCTTCCCGGGGTGGGTCCAGGTCTGGCTCCTCCTGAGGTCGGTGGTCCACCTCAGGGGCAGGAGGCCAAGGGTTTTCTGGGGGCTGGGGTCCCGCTGGCCAAGGGTCATCAGGCCGGGGAGGTTGAGGAGGATCCGTTCTAGGCGGTTCAGGGGGCCAGACTCCAGTTTCAGGCAGGTCTCTCCAGGGACGACTGGGGCTGGGAGGCGGAGGGTCTTCAAAGAGAGGGGGTGCCCCTGGCCAAGGGTCACCGGGGACTGGGGGGCCCTGAGGCAATGTTGGGGAGCCTGCCTCCTCTCGGTCCTCTGCGGGTGGGTGAGAGGGGTGGTCCTCGCTGCCTGAGATGCCTGTAAAGGAGGAAGGAGAAAGGTAAGAGGTGATGAGGGCTTCTCTCCGCCACCCCAGCCCCAGCCCCAGGAGGAGGAGCCTCTCTAGATGGACACAGCCTGTACCGACCCACAAACAGACCAAAAAAGTCCCTCTCAAAGAGCTCTCTGTACGTTTGTAAATACTTAACTGATGATAAAATGTCATGAACCCCTACCCGCTATGGATCTGAACCATTCACTTGTCCCACTTTAAACTGACCAGACTTCTCCAAATAAGCTCATCCACCCCTGGTTGCGGTACCCCACTGGCTTTGTCCTCAGGCCAATCTACAACCCAAAGTGGGCTACACCTTGGCTCCCAGACACACAGACCCCAGCTCCTTAACACAAATCACAGCTCCGAGGAAACTCGTCCCGCACGCATTAATCCTGACCGACTTTGCCACATGGAGCCAGCAAACCATTTCTGGTGAGAGCCAAACGCACCTTCTGCACCCCTGAACTCCTGTCCCCCACCCACTGTGTACAGAAAGCCGTTTCTGGTGAGCCAGACGCACCTTCTGCATCCCCTGAATTCCTGTCCCCCACCCACTGTGTACAGAAAGCCGTTTCTGGTGAGCCAGACGCATCTTCTGCATCCCCTGAATTCCTGTCGGCAACCCCATGCGTCCAGTTCACCTCCCCCATCCTGACCATCCCTCATCTCTCCCCAAACTGCACTCCCTGCCTCTGTTCCCACCTCACCTCTGGCGTGCAGGCAAAGGACCAGGATCCCAAGGAGCTTCCAGTTGAGCATCATGGCTGTGTACTGGCCCCCAAAGCTGGGGTGGGCTGAGTCTGGGTGTCTGGGAACCCCAAGAGGCTTTATAGGGGATGAGGGGAGGAGGGGCCAGCCCAGTGGCACAGGAATACCATCAGAACAGAACTGGTCAAACCCGTTGGGAAGGCCTGGGCTAATGTGTCACCTTTGAAGGTGGCGTCCCTTATTTTAGTCCCCCTGTCCAGGCAGCTGCCCGCTCTCCCTATCATGACCCTGACCCTGCATCACCCCACCCTAGTTTTCACAACCACCCATTCACACCCTGGAGCAGTCAATACTCACTTGGCATCTCCGTAATCACAGAGATGTCCACCTTCATCCCTTGCAACTATTGGAAGCCAAAGAATGGGAGCAAACCACGCGTTGGGAAGCGCCGTAATTACAGGGTTGGGAGGCAGGATGCCTGCGCTGGGGGAGGAGGTGCCTTTCAAACCGGGGATGCAGCTGGGACAGTGTCAGCTACTACCCCAGCCTCCCCATTCACCCACACACTAAAAGCTCCCCCTGGGACTTCGTTCTTTCCTGGGTACTTCCCTTCCCCCATGGGATCCAGGCATCCTGCTCTCCAGCATGTCCTTCTTCAGGCATGCAGGGGACCTCCAAGCAATGACATCCAAGAAATTCCATCTGGGAGTCATCCAGGATGACTGCAGAAGAGGAAGGACACAGGAGGATATCCTGGTTCCCTCTTCCCACCCAGAACTGTTTGCATAAGTCCTGCCAATGGCTCCGGAAGAAGCTGCCAGGCTCCAGCAACCTCAGCCCCTTCCTCCTCCCTCAGGAATCCACCTATCCGCCTCTAAGGGCCTCGGCTCCAACTCTATTGTATCGTCTCCTCCCTCCCATTCTCCTTTTGGTCTCAGCTCCTTGATCTAAGCCTCCTAGAGAGTCCCCTAGAATGTTTCCTTCAAGGGCCTTTCTGCCTGGAAGTTTGTTAGCCCTTCAGAAGTAACGTGTCCAGAATAAAATTTGATTCCTCCCAGGTTGTTCCCTGCCTGGTTCGCTACCCCACAGTAAGGGACACCTTACTATGCAATGGTGTGATCTCGTCTGTTCCCTCCAGGGCTCATGAAGGACAGAAACCTTCGTTACTCTCCCCCACCATCCACAGCCCATCCACCTGCAAGCCCCTCCATGCCCTGTCCAAACCCAGCCCATCATCCTGAGCCGCCATCTCCCCCAGGCCTCTCCAACACCCTTCTCAGTGGCCCCCTTGCTCCCACTCTTTATCCCTCCCCTTCACACAAAATCTGTCCTCCACCAGCGAAGGAGGTCTTCAAATATACATCAGGTGGGCCTGGCATGGCGGCTCATGCCTGTAATTCCAGCACTTTGGGAGGCAGAGGTGGGTGGATCACCTGAGGTTGGGAGTTCAAGACCAGCCTGACCAACATGGAGAAACCCCGTCTCTACTAAAAATACAAAAATATTAACCAGGCATGGTGGCAAATACCTGTAATCCCAGCTACCCAAGAGGCTGAGGCAGGAGAATCACTTGAACCCAGGAGGCAGAGGTTACGATGAGCTGAGATCACGCCATTGCACTCTAGCCTGAGCAACAAAAGTGAAACTCTGTATCAAAAAAAAAAAAAAAGTATTATATCAGGCCAGGCGTGGTGGCTCATGCCAGCACTTTGGGAGGCTGACACAGAAGGACTACTTGAGCTCAGGAGTTGTGTGCGCTGCTTCACCTGTAGCAAGACTGTGGGCAACACGTGGGAGGCCTACCTGGGGCTGCTGCAGGCCAGGTACACTGATGGGGACGCCCTGGGCCTGAAGCACTACAGCCGCTGCTGCATGCTGCTGGCCCACGTGGACCTGATCCAGAAGCTGCTCAATTATGCCCTCCTGGGGAAGTGACCTCGCTGGACCCACCCACCTGCCGTGCTGACCATGGGCAGTTGCTGTCTTGCCCTGAGTTCACTAAACTGAGATGTCAGGGTCCCAGGAGCAATTGCTGACCATACTGGGTGGATGCATGTACCTCACTCTGGAAGGGACCATCCAGTAAGTCTTTCAGGAAAAAAAATGTACACCAAATCATGTTACATCTTCCCTTTGGGGAGTGAGGACAGGTTCTCGCTCTCAGGCTGGGGTGCAGTGGTGCGATCACAGCTCATTGCAGCCTTAACCTCTTGGGCTCAAACAATCCTCCCAACTCAGCCTCTGGAGTAACTAGGATCATGGGTGCGTGCCACCATGCCCTCCAATGTTTTTTTTTCTTATTTTTTTTCAGACAGAGTCTCCTCTGTCACCCAGGCTAGAGTGCAGTGGCGGAATCTCAGTTCACTGCAACTTCCGCCTCCCAGTTCAAGCAATTCTTCTGCCTCAGCTTTCCGAGTAGCTGGGACTACAGGCGCCTGCCACCACACCTGGCTAATTTTTTGTATTTTTAGTGAAGGCTGGGTTTCACCGTGTTAGCCAGGATGGTCTCGATACCCTGACCTTGTGATCTGCCCGCCTCAGTCTCCCAAAGTGTTAGGATTACAGGCGTGAGCCACCATGCCTGGCCTTCTTCCCCATTTTTAAAGAAGTACTCCAATGGCTTTCTATTGACTTGAGTAAAATCCAAACTTGGCCACATCTTGGCCTCGAAGCAGCGTCCTTGACCATTCTCTACAGAGCCCTCCTGGCCTCCACAGGAGCCCACTTCAGGCAGGCCTCTCAGCACAAGGTCCTTGCTCAGAGGCCTCTCCCCAGAGTCAGTTTCTATCACATAATCGTACTATACTTTCTCTTCAAGCACTTGTTTGAAATGATCTTGTTCATCTGTTTAGGTCGTCTGCCCTCTCTCTCCCACTAGGATGTAGGCTCTCAGGGCCCAGGTGGCCCCCAGGCGAATACAGTGCCTGGTTCTGATATTCCTGTTGAATGAGTGAATGTTTCGTCTTCCCCACTCCTAGCATTTATCATTTTCCAGAAGAAAAGATTAAAAGTTGAGAATAAAGAAAAACAGAAGCTTCCCAAATATTTCCAAAGCTGCCTAGAAAAAGGATTTGAAAAGGTATCACCCCAGAGAGAGCTATGGGTGGGAGCACTTCTCACATCTCCAAGAGAGATGGCTGCAGGGAGAATTCCCAGATTCCCAGAGATAACATTTCCAAACAATGGCTCCTACTTTATTTAGAGCAGAATTTAGACTTAGCCGGTGTTCCCCAGGGTGACCCCGGGAGGGGGAAGGGCTCATCTGTCCCCACCCACTTCTCCAGGATCCTCCCAGCCCCCAGGCTGGCTTTCCCTGGGCTCTCAGCTGCTTAGCTGCTCATCTGGGGATTGGAGCTGGAGCATCTATCAAGGTTGTCTCCTTGACAAACAGCTTCCTCTTTGGAAATGGCTTCACTCAAGCCCTGCAGGTCATCCAGCAGGACAGAGAGGGACCCTGGGAAGGAAGATAGCAGAAGATGAGCACCAGACAAGGGGAGGTGCTCGTGGTTACAGGGGAAACAGGGCTGACACAGGAAATGAGGACTGGGAGAGAGGAGGCTCTTTGGTCCAAGCTGGGCATCGCTAAAAGAGGCTAAGGGCCTCGCAGGATCACAGAGAACACCACTCATCATGCAAGAGTCTGGAGGGGAGATTGCTGAAGTGCGCCAATTTGCCCCTTCTCCCTTTGTGCTTGGCCCAAGACCTTTTATGGATTCCCTGGTGGGTACTGCTGCTGCTACAGGTACGGATGCTGAACACTCTGGAGGCCTGGGGCTGGACACCACAGATTTCTTCTTATCCAGTAGGGAAGGAAGAACTGCCAACAGTCGCTGCTGCTTGTAACGGGAGAGGAGACCCTCCTGCTGCAAGGTGGCCTGGGAAGGAGAGGGTTAAACGCCACCTAGCCCGGGTAGAACCTCCCTCACCATCCTCTTTCCACACCTCTAGCCCAGGAGCCAGCCCAGGATGGGCCCTAGTGTCTGCCTGTCTGCTGTCCTGTCTCCTACCAGCATGAGGTTCTTATCCCTCTCCAGCTCCTGCAAGCGCCGGGCTAGTCGCTGCCCCTCCTCCTTCCGGGCCTCCTCCTGCAGACGCCTGAGTTCCTGGCTCCGCTCCTTTTCCTGGGCGGCTCTGCGCTGAATCTGGCGCAAGGAGACCACTACAGAGAGGCCAAGGCACAGGGAGGCAGGTGTGGGTCAGGCCAGAGGCAGCCAGGCACCATGAAGAAAGGAACAAACGCTGGGTCACCAACTCTGGCTGGTGGGGGCTGTTCTGCTCTGTGGATCTCTCTCTTCTGTACAGTTGGAGCGGGGGGGCTGATGCTCTAGGAGCCTGGGAATCTGAACCTAGTATCTTCGTCATCCCTGAACCATCCTGGAGTTCCACAGGGGAAATGTGAATATGAACTGAGTTAGATTTTGTGCAATTAGTGTTCCTTGTCTTAAAGTGTGATGATTGCAGCTATATAGGAGAATTTACTGGCTTTGGGAGATGCAGCTGAACAACTTATGTTTACAACTTACTTAAAACATTAAATGGTCGGGCGCGGTGGCTCACGCCTATAATCCCAGCACCTTGGGAGGCCAAGGCAGGTAGATCACAGGTCAAGAGATCGAGACCATCCTGGCCAACATGGTGAAACCCTGTCTCTACTAAAAATACAAAAATTAGCTGGGTGTGGTGGTGGGCACCTGTAATCCCAGCTACTCAGGAGGCTGAGCCAGGAGAACGACTTGAACCCGGGAAGTGGAGGTTACAGTGAGCCAAGATCATGCCACTGCACTCCAGCCTGGTGACAGAGGAAGACTGTCTCAAAAAACAAACAAAAAAAACCACATTAAATGATTACAACTTAAAGTGATTCAAAAGATGCACAAATATGCGTGTATATAGATAACAGACCAAATGTGGCAAACATTAACTGCTATATTTAGAGAAGATATATTCATTACACAATTCTTTTTTAGACACACGGTCTTTCTCTATTGCCCAATCTTGGCTCACTGCAGCCTCCACCTCCCAGGTTCATGTGATCTTCCCACACCAGCCTCAAAAGTAAGCTCAGGCTGCAGGTGCCCACCGCCATGCCTGGCTAATTTTTGTAATTTTTTTTTTTTTTTTTTTTTAAAGAGATGGGAGTCTGTGTTGCCCAGGCTGATCTTGAACTCCTGGGCTCAAGCAATTCTCCTGCCTTGGTCTCCCAAAGTGCTGGGATTACATGTGTGAACCACCGCGCCGGCCACAATTCTTTTTTTTTTTTTTTTTTTTTTGAGACGGAGTCTTGCTCTGTCGCCCAGGCTGGAGTGCAGTGGCGGGATCTCAGCTCACTGCAAGCTCCGCCTCCCGGGTTCCCGCCATTCTCCTGCCTCAGCCTCCCGAGTAGCTGGGACTACAGGCACCCGCCACCTCGCCCGGCTAGTTTTTTGTATTTTTTAGTAGAGACGGGGTTTCACCGTGTTAGCCAGGATGGTCTCGATCTCCTGACCTCGTGATCCACCCGTCTCCGCCTCCCAAAGTGCTGGGATTACAGGCTTGAGCCACCGCGCCTGGCCCGGCCACAATTCTTTTAACTTGTTTAGGTGTGTGAAATTTTTGCTAGGGGGTAATTGCTGGTGTTAGACATCTGGAAGGTGGTGGCCTCTGTGAAGGGGTATGACTGGAAGGGGTACAGGAGGGTCCTGAGCTGGTCATATGCTCTTTATTTTTTTTTGAGACTGAGTTTTGCTCTCCAGGCTGGAGTGCAATGGTGTGATCTCAGCTCACTACAACCTCCGCCACCCGAGTTCAAGCCATTCTCCTGCCTCAGTCTCCCAAGTACCTAAGATTACAGGCACCCACTACCACACCCAGCTAATTTTTGTATTTTTAGTAGAGATGGGGTTTCACTATGTTGGCCAGGCTGGTCTCAAACTTCTGACCTCAGGTGATACACCTGCCTTGGCCTCCCAAAGTGCTGGGATTACAGGCGTGAGCCACCATGCCCGGTCATATGCTGTTTCTTAATCTGGTGCTGGCTACATGGGTGTGTTTGTGAAGTGAGAAATCATCTGTGCTATTCATGGATACCTTCATTACTTCTTGTAATGAAGCTTTGAAAAAACTTTGAGGGGAAAATAATAACCTACGTCTTAACACTTCCTTCTTCCTGGAAGGCCCTATCCACCCTGGCGAGGCTCACCGGCCTTGGCATGCTCCCTCCGAGCCTCGTTCAGCCTCCTCTCTGTGTCTGAGAGTTGCTCCCGCAGCCGAGTTTCCACTTCAGCCACCTTCTCTTGCAGGGCTGGGGTGAAAGTGCAGACGGGGCGTATCAGCATGAGCTTTGATTTGCAATTCCCACGCCACCGTCCAAGGGAAGCACCCCTTTCCCTCTCGACACCTTGCCTGTAGAGGTCCTGCTGCTGGGTCAGCTCCTGCCGCAGACTGGCAGCCTCCTCTGTGCTCTCCTGCTGGCCCTGGCGTGCCACCTCCAGCTGCAGCCCCAAGCTAGCCAGGGACTCCTGGGTCTGCTGCAGCTCCTGCTCCAGCTGCTGGGCCACCTTGCTCAGCTGCTGTCGCTCTGCCTCCCCTAAAAGGAGGGGGTGCTGGGTCAGGCCTCTCCTAGCACCCTAGACACCGGTCTTTCCTCATCCTCGCCACCCCCTGGCAACCAGGTGTACCTTGTTCCCGAGCCCGGCCCACCTCCTGCTGAATGAGGCGGGCACTCAGCTGCAGTTCTGCATCCAGGCGGTTCCGTTCTTCCCGCAGCTGCTGCAGCTCAAGGCTTACGTCTGTGACTGGTGGTGGTAGGGGACAGCTGGGACGGGGAAGAGAAACAGAGTCAGGAGAAATCACCCAGCTGCCTGACCCCAAAGCACCCATCCTGCCTCAGCTCTCATGGTTTTGGGGGTCCCAGTAGCCAATGCTCTAAAGCCCCATCCACCTCAAAGTGCCCAAACTTCACCTCTCCTGGCGCAGCTGAGCAAGGGCAAGCTTTCGAGCAGTCAGGCCTGGGAGGGAAAAGGCAGGGAGAAAAACAGATGAAGTTTGCATGGGAGAAAGTGGGGGACAGGGAGTAAGGGAAAAAGAGATGTGAGGGCTGGTGAAAGGA